TGGGTCCCTGATGGCTGCTTAAGAAAATATCTCCTTGCTCTAAGGTTAATCAGAGACCAAAAGGCAACTAGGTGCCTCAAAGGGGAAGGGCAGGGACTCTGGATTCAAGACGGTCACACAGGCTTACCTTGCTTTATTGTGCTTTGATTTGTTGTGCTTTTCACAAATTGAAGGTTTGTGACAATCTTGTGTTAACAAGTCTAACGGCGCCATTTTTTCCAACAGCATTTTCTCACTTCGTGTCTGTCACATTTTGGTAACTCTCAAAATATTTCAAACTTTTCATTATTGTTATATTTGTTATTGTGATCTGTGATCAATAATCTTTGATGTTACAACTACAACTTACTGAAGGCTGAGATGATGCATTTTTTAGCAATAAAGTATTTTTAAATTAAGGTATGTACTTTTTTTAGACATAATGCTATTACACACTTAATAGATTACAGTATAAATACAACTTTTATATGCACTGGGAAACCAAAAAATTAATGTGATTCATTTTATTGTGATAATTGTTTTACTGTGGTGGTCTGGAACAGAATCCACAATATCACTGAGGTATGCCTGAAAATAATATGAATCATTTCACAAGCTGAGATTTGAAGTGGGGACTCTATGGGTCTAAGGAGAATACTAAAGACAGTACTATTTTATCCAGAAAGGCTCAAGAAAGGAGAACTACCTAAATTTAAAAATTGCACTGGACATTTCAGCTGTACTGTTCGTACCGACCTAGATGGGAATTCATTGATCCTACCACAGTGTTGGCCTTAAGGGTGCAGACAGTTCAACTGGACAGGCCTCAGTCATTGTCCTGCTCCACACTCAGTGGGGCTGTGACCAAGGCTGTGACCCTCACCTCACCCATATGGGGGTACACAACACACCCCGATGCCTGCATATGTTGGGAGAAGTCATCATAAGGTAATAATGCACAGAAAAACTCAACAATGCTGGACACACGGCAGGTGCTTTATTAATGCTGGCTTCTATTATTACTTTGATAGCCAATATTGCTTTTTGGGGGGAAGTTCTCTGCATTTTAAAAAATCTTCAAGATACAGGGAAGATTTCTAAAGAGTAGATCAAATCATTCTCCCGTTTCCTATGGGCGGAAGATTCACTCATTCTACTCATCATACACTCATGGAACATTTACAATGTGCCACGTCTAGCAATGTGGGTATCACGGTTGTTTGATGAAGCATGATGTCTGGTGAGATGACTCAGAAGACAGCTTTTGGAAGACTGCTTTTAGACTCAGGATATTAGGTAAATGTCAATTAATTGCATAGCGGGAAACAAGCCTGTGAAAGGATTCCTCTGTTGGAGCCAGAACAGGTGGCCAGGTTCCCCTCTCTCTGGTTAGCTGTGAGGAGCCATGAGATTTCTAGAAGTTCTTTATTAGTAATTTGGATATTATACCTATAAAATAAGCATCCGCTGGTTATTTATATCTTGGATTAATCAATGTTCATAAAGGTTTATCTTCTGTCTCTGTCATACAAAAGGTACAGGAATGTTATTTTTCTGATACTCTGGCAACTCCAAAAGCCCTTCTGAATGCCTTTCTTACTCAAAAGCCAGGTGAACTGCAAGAGAGGCTTACAGGCCTGGAGAGGGGGGCTATTGTTATTCCATTTTGGAGCCGGTAAGCATGAATAATTTTAGGGTCATATCTGTAAAGGAACAAATGTCAAAAACAAAATGACAACTATTCTTCAAGCAAAGTCTGGTTCATTTTCAAAAGGTCAGTTTGGTAGTTTTCTTGAGTAAGTTCCGAAATCTTAACTTCCCATTTTTACACTTCACACGAGCTCTAGGAAAACACCTTTTTATTAAGTGTTAAGGGCACTGGTGCCCATGGTAATTGATATTCTGCAAGTACATTATGGCCCAGGAGGAACTGCAGAGACCTGCCCATTTTTCCATCCAGTTGAATGGCATGGAGCGTGGTGCTGTTCCTGCCACCGGTCTGCTCTGCCAGAATCGGGCTGTTCACTTCAAGGTGGCGTTTACACACCTGAGACGTTCTAGTTGAGCAGAAACTGGCTGCGACAAAAGTTTGTACCAAATAAAATAGGGGCTCATGGGCTGGGTATAGTACATGCACTCACTTTTGTATGGCCTGGGAAGTTTTCTAGAATTATGTACTGGTCAGGCCATCTTTCCGAGCTGTTAAAATGCAGTTATGCCTCAGGCTGCATGGATGCATCTTGGCCTCTTCATCTCTGATGGAGATGTGGTGGTTCATCACATCGCTTCCCTGCTCTAAGTCCTGGTGTCCATGTGTAAGATGGGGCTAATAATGGTACCAACATCTTAGGCTATTATGAGAATTAAAGTGCACATGGAGGACTGAGTCTCAGGAAGATGAAATAAACATTAGGTATAATCATTCTTATCCTAGAAGTCCGAAGATGGAAGAGCCTCTTTCCTTGTGAAACGCAGTCTTCAAAACCACCTTCACATCCCAGTACAATGGTTCTGTAGAAAGGCACTGATGTGGAGGAAGCCCAGGTCCTAATCCTAACTCTGGCTCTGATGGGGCATTTGACCTTGGGCAAGGTTGTATTGAGGGGGATAGACTCCATCACAGTGTTTTTAACTGGGTCATTAAAGCCTTGGGGCAGGGTTCTGAGACCCTAACTCCCACTTCAGCTGAAGCAGTTCTGCTTTTATCTTTTTTACATATTGGAATTCCATACGGGATTTCATTTGATAGAAAAGTCTTCACTGCTTACATTTAATTTAAAGTTTAAGAATCACTGCATAAAGTGACATACAGCTGTTTTAATTGCTAAAATATATGCACCTATATACTCTCATTGTTGAGTTTTAGAAATATACCTAATATACCAAAAAACTGGAATTGAGGGGGAAACCTGAAAGTCAGATTTCAATGAATTACCCTACTTTTTTTCTTTCCAGGTTGTTATGAGAAATGGCCAGCTGAATACCATTTCTCTCCCTCCTTTCTTCCCTTTCTTCATTCCTGTCTTCCTTCTAATGAGAATTCAGAGCATCTAATATATGCCAGAAATTGCCTGGGGAACTAGGAATCCAGACTGACAAAGTCTCTGTTCTTAAAAACTCCTAGGCTACCTAGGGGAAAAGCAATAAACAAGAAAACAAATCACGAGTTACAAACTGTGAAAAGGCTGTGAAAAAAACGTACAAGGTGGGGTGAGAGAGACTGACCTACTCAGATAAGACTGTCTAGAGAGGGCTTTGAGAAGGTGGGCGGAGTTCCCACCCAGGCCTGGCAGTCCTCACTCCAGCCATCCCATCCTTCACTCTGCTTGCCCCTCACCCTCTTGGCTTTGCCCTAAATCTGGTCAGCTGCACCCCTCAGCCACTCACCCCCTGGAGGGAGTGTGGCCACTTGCCATTTCTGACAGGCCTAGGCGGGGGGTGGGGGGTGGGGGTGGGGGCAGGTCCGGCACTGAAACAGGTGACCAGAGGTCTGCTATTTTTTTTTTTCTCTTGAAAAACCTAGCTACATAGCCCTTGAGCTGTTTTAATTTGTTTTTCCTGTATATCAGGAACTCTCAACAGAAAAGTAATTTTTCACTTCCTGGTTTTATATATAGTATTTTTTGATTAGATAATTTATTTACTTGGTTCAAAGCCAAAAAAATTTAAAAATTGCGATTGAACTCTGGGCCAGGCTGCTTGGATTTAAATCCCAGCTCTGACTAACCTCGGGGAAGTTACTTAAGAGCTCTGTGCCTCAGTTTCTTTAGCTGTGAAGAATAACAACTATACACACAAGAACAGTATCTTCCTCACGGTGTTGTGAGGACTAAATGTAACCACTGAGCACAGTGTCTGGCACAGAGTAAGTGCTGAGTTAATGGTACTGTGCAACAGAAACCCAGGAAGAGTCCCAGACTGCCCACAACCATGCCTCCCTTCTCCTGATGATACACAGTGGATGCCTGAGCCATTATTTTTCTTGGACAAACACTAACACTAGCTCACTAGCATATTGGTAAGTATGAACTGTGCTATGTCATCTCAAACTAACCCAGTGACATGTAAAGACTAACCAAATGGGAAACACTACTTTCTGATATCTTATTTAGCTACAAACTACCCAAGCCAATCAGAAAGGGGAAAGGGATAGCAGATGAAAATTTAGGGTGACAGGGAGAAGGGGTGCCAGATCTGGTTAACATTGGCCAGAACATTTCTACAATCCTCTGAATTTAATTTGCCCTCAATGCAAATTCTGCTTACCTTCAACATAATTGAGACCCTGCTGTCAAAACATCACTTTGCAGTGGTGACATTAAGACATCTTTTCAGCCACTCATCACTCCTATAGATCTTGGGTGCCTTTGCTTAAGGACCATACTCTCAGTTCCTGTGGCTTATTTAGGACACTTAATATAACATATTATTTGTTCCCTCACAGCAAGGTCTTCTCCTGACAGCCAAGATTCTATTTTTCTGTCATAAGTAATTATAAATGTACACCTCTAAAAACCTTCTCAATTTGAGGGGCATAGTCTATTTCAGACAGTAAATCACGGTGACATCTCTATCCCTTAGGCAGCCAAAATGCATAACTCAGATGTATGAGCTCTCACTCTGAATTCTCTGTACCTGAAGAAAAATGGGACGCTCTACTTTCTCCCTGGGGCAGTTAGGAAAAAAAAACCCAGCACCTTTGTTGGAGTAATTTATACTGGTTTCAGTTCTTTTTTTTTTTTTAACTTTAGGTATAGCGCTTCCATCACAACCCGACACTGAAAACTGTCTCAGGGAGTCCCATTCAGAGGTCGTTTTTCACACCAATTACATATTTTTGATTTTCCATATTCATCCCATACCAACCTCTCTGTTTCCACCAGAAGATTCTTTCCTGTTCCTCCTCTTTGCACCCCTGACAGTCATGTTCCTTGCTCACACCCAGAGATCTCACCAACAAAGAGAACCCCAGGCAAATTTCCATTCCTGCTTCCTTCCAATTTTTCCATTACTAATACAACCTATTGTAGCTCCATGTCAGCCTCTGCTTTAATGAAAAAGTTGTATCTCTGTATTAACGAAAACATGGATCTTGGTGATGCTGGAGTATTGGGTCTGCTTTATAACAATACTAACAGCTGGTATTTGGTAGACGCTGTTCCAAGTATCTCATGTTCAGTATACCTCATTGAATCTTCATGAAGAAACTGGCAGGTGGCCACTATCTATTATTAGTCTTATTTTACAAAACCAAAATTCATAAAAGTCACACAGCAGGAATTGCCAGAGTTGGAATTCAGATGCAGGTCAGTTTGACACCAAAGCCAGGCTCTTACATCTCAAATTATATTTCGCCCTGGGATTAACCTTCAGGAGAACAAGGACAATTTCTCTCTTAAATTCCTTGTAGTTGGAAAGAACCCACCATTCTATAAAATGAAGCAGATTTTGGATATGTGAGCCCAAGTGATCAGCATTTAATAAAAGAGTGGTATCTCAAAGTGACTGATTTTTTCTATTTATAGTTAATCATTTTTATTTTCTATGCCTGCCAGTTTTCATATTCCCACCTTGAGCACTCAAGCTTCCAGAAGAATCCTCACACTGCTCTGCTGGTTGTTGACTGGGAGGAACAATCGGTGGGCTCAGCATATTCAACCAGTCTCTAAAAAGAAAAGAAAAGAAATGAACTCTATGTCTGTAATTCCATATGTAGATTTCACCTTTCCCTTGAATTTTTAATTCCCTGGGGCTTCCACAAAGAACCATTTTTTTTGTCCTTCATATTTCAGAAAGATAAGATGTCCAGAAATTAATATTTAGTTTTATAAATTAATATAGAGCCAATTACTTAACTAACTAGTTGTTCAATAAATACATGAACTAAATGATGAGGATGATTCCTCTCAAAAAGTTTATTATTGTTGATATTCAACTGCAGCACAGTTCCTCTTGCCTAAGAAAATTATTTCAACAACTCAGAAGAAATGCAGCAGAGACAAGGCTCCTTAGGACCTTTGGGTAAGAAAGCCTGATAGTCACATGTCACAGGTCATAGATGGCAAGAGTCCATATGGTGACTCAAAACAGAAGTTAGCCTTGGAGCCCTCATGAACCAACCATGATGGTGGGAGCTGGTATGCGTTAACTCGGGGCCTTAGAGCAGGGGAGGGAAAAAGATGGGAGAGTGAGGGCCTCTGGGCCCTTGAACAGTTCAGTACCTCAGTTCTCCTGGTATGAATGGGGGCAAAATCACTCCAGAAAGCATCACCTACATTCGCAAGCCCTCTGCCTCCAGCTTTCAACCTTATTTCTCAATCTCTTTCCTTTCCTTCCTTCTT